GAAAATTGGGAAGAAGAAAGGGTGACAGCCCTTGTCTTCAGGATGAATATTCTTTTTTGGAATATTAGGGGGTTTAATAAACCCTCTAAGAGACCGGACTTGATGAGAGTCCTGAGGTTGAGGCAAGTGGAGGTAGTAGCAGTTTTGGAAACTAGGGTTAGGAAGTGTAAGCAGGATAAGGTACTGGCGGATTGTTTCATTGGCTGGGAACGTTGTTTGAATTATGTTGATTCTGAGCTGGGGCGTGTTTGGATCTTTTGGCAGCCTGTAGTGACTTTGCGGGTTCTCAAAGCTGGAAAGAATTTTGTACATGCTCTGGTTTAGGGGGATGACAAAATTCCATTCTTTTTGACTGCTGTGTATGGTTCGAATGAGGAAGTGGAGAGGAGAGGTACTTACAGGGAGTTAATGAGGTATAAGGTGGTTCATAGGCCCTGGATTGTTGGGGGGGGGGGGATTTCAACGCTGTGGTACATCCGATTGAAACATCTAATGTGAGAGTTAAGACTTCTAGTATGATTGATTTTGAGAGATGGATCAATGAGATGGAATTGGTTGATTATCGTACTACAGGACCCTGGTTTACTTGGGTTAACAATCAGCAAGAGAATCCTATAGCTAGGAGGCTGGACAGGGCGATGGTTAATATGGAGTGGATGGATAGCTTTCCAAACTGTAGGATGGAAGCGATTGTGGCCCCCTTTACTGATCACTATGGTATTTCTGTGGCTACTACCCCGGTTGTAAAGTCTTTGCCAAAGGCTTTCAAATACTTTGCATTTTGGGAATCTCATCCTGATTTTCTCAAAATTGTTGAGGAAGCATGGAGTGTACCAGTCAAGGGTGCCCTTGGTATAGAGTGCAGTGCAAGCTTAAGGCAGTGAAAAAGGCCCTTCGTAAACTGAATAAGGATTCTTTGATAACATCAGTGAGCAGGTCAAGGTGATGGAGCAACAGTTAATGACACTCGTAAGATAGTCTCTTGATTCTCCTGATGAGGAAACATTGAAGGCTAGATCAGAGTTGCATAAGCAGTATGATGGGTTGAGGAGGCAGGAGGAGAGTTTCTATTGGCAGAAGTCGCGAGTGGATTGGTTGGCTAAAGGGGATAAGGGCACTCCGTTTTTTCACCAAGCAGTTAAAATCAGAAACTCAAAAAGGGCGATTAGGAAACTAGTTACTGAAGCAGGTGAGGAGGTGGTGTAGGTGGATAGGATTGATGATGAGGCAGTAACTTTCTACCAAAAGCTCTTTGGCAGGATAAATGAAGAGGTGCAGACAGATGATGATGTGCTTAGGTCACTTATTAGAGGGCGCTTAACAGAAGAAGCTGTTCAAATGTTATGTGCTCCCTTTCGGCATGAGGATATTAAGGAGGTGTATTTTTACCTTAATAGCTCCAAAGCGCCTGGTCCGTATGGATTCTCGGCGGGTTTCTTTAAGCACACCTGGCATATCGTTGGAGCTGAAATCATTGAAGGTACGCTGGATTTCTTTACCTCGGGTCGAATGTTGAGTGGCATTAATGCTACTGCAGTCTCATTGATTCCTAAAATCCATAATGCAGAGAAGCTAAAAGATTTCCAGTCCATTTCTTGTGTGAATGTCTTGTATAAAGGGGTTCAAAATTGTTGGTGAAAGAGGTTATGCAGCAAGTGATTAGCCCTAACCAAACTGCATTTATACCGGGGAGGAGAATAATGGATAACATTTTGCTGGCTCAGGAACTGGTTAGTGGTTACAATGAGAAGAAACTCTCTTCTATATCAGCTATAAAGGTTGATATTATGAAAGCCTTCGACTCTGTAAGTTGGGATTACTTACTTAAGGTTATGAAGGTCATGGGATTTCCTATGCAGTACATTGAGTGGATTAGGATTTGCTTGTCTACTGCCCATTTTAGTATCAGCTTGAATGGGGGTCTTTGTGGATTCTTTAAAGCGCATAAGGGAGTGAGGCAGGGAGATCCCTTGTCTCCATACTTATTCTGTTTGGCCATGGAAGGACTCTCGGGTTTGCTTTATAGAGAAGCTATGGCTGGTTCTTTGCCTTTTCATCCGATGTGTAGCAAGGTAGCTCTTAATCATCTATGTTTCGCAGATGACCTCTTGATATTCACAAAAGGGTCAGGGCAAGCTATACTGAGGGTGAAAGAGGTGCTTCACGTTTTCTACTTACTGTCAGGTTTGAAGTGTAATCCAGAAAAATGTGAGATCTATTTTGGTGGAGAGGCTATTGTTTTTAAGGAAAATGCACTGGCCATTACAGGGTTTAAGGAAGGGGTTCTCCCGGTCCGCTACCTAGGTTTGCCACTTATGTCAGGAAAGGTGAGCTCTGCCGAGTGGGATATGTTGTTGGACAGAATTACTCTGAAGATCAAATCATGGCGAGCAAAAAAGTTATCTTATGCTGGGCGTTTACAGTTGGTATCGTCAGTACTCATGGGGGTTATCCCGTTCTGGTTTCAATTATTTGTATTTCTGAAGAAGGTCTTGCACAAACTTCAGAAGCTATGCTCAGACTTCCTCTGGCATGGGGAGGATACATGAAGGGCGAAGGTGGCTTGGGAACGACTTGCTTATCCTAAAAACGAAGGAGGTCTAGGCTTGCGGGATCTTGTATCATGGAACAAAGCATGTACTGCCAGAATGCTTTGGATCTTAATGATGCAAACCGGGGCCTTGTGGGTAGCCTGGATGTCTGCATATCGATGTAAGGGGAAGGATGTATGGCTCATGAAGATTAATCCCTCGAGCTCATGGGTGTGGAGGAGAATCCTAAAGATTAGGGCCTCTGTTCAGCCGTTTATGAGGAGGGTTGGGGAAGGGGGTCTTTAGAATGGGAAGCTGATGCCTCGTTACTCAGTAAGGATTGTTTGGGAGACTCATCGGTCGTCACGGTGTACGCAGCACTGGTCTGCGCTTTTATGGGGTAAGTACTATGTTCCGAGATGGAGTTTCTGATAGCATCGTATTTGCACGTGTTTTCACTCGGGTTTCCTGTCCATTTTGGCTCGAATTGATTGTTCCTTGGCCTATTTTACGCTAGGTTGTGTTGTTTTGTCGTATTTCAGGTCCTAGCAAGTAAAGAGGTGCATAGGCGCAAGTTTCGGGTCATTTGAAGGTCAGATGGCGAATCACAGAAGGAATTACGGGCAGCCCCTGCCAAATTACGACCGTAATTGGTCAGGGCATGCCCGTAAAACAATTGCCGAGCCTTTTCCCCAGAATTTCCTCTGGGTGCTAAAATTACGGGCAAGACCCCCAAGAATTACGACCGTAATTCCCAAATTACTGGCGGTAATTGGGAAATTACTAGCGGTAATTGGGAAATTACTGGCGGTAATTGCTCCTCCTTCAGCTTAATTGAAACGTGCGTTTTGGGGCGAATTACGGGCAGGACGTGATTACGGCCGTAATTCAGCCCGTAATTCGCCCAGACTCGGGTTTTTGAAGCCAGAATCGAGCCAAGGAAAGGGAGATCGAATTTCTTGAGCAAAAACAGAGCCCTAGAGAGAGAAAGTGCGAAGAACTCACCCTAGAAGCCATCTTGGAGCTGGGTTTCATCAAATCAAGCTTGGAGATCGTCCTAGGAGTGGAAATCATCATCCCGGAGCAGATTTTCCTCATCATTATGAGTATGACTACTCCGATTACTGTTTTCTTTTCTCTCTCTATGGAGTAGAACCTCTCTCTCACTTGGGGATGAAGAACCCTAGTTCTATATGTTAGGGGATTGATTGTAATGACTTGGGATGATATTACTGTTTGATTTTAATCGAATGATGCATGTTTATTGAGTCAATTGAAGTCTGATCAACTTTTCCTGATTCCTGCTGCAATCTGAGATAGATAGAATCTGATTAGGTTGCTAGAGTCTCATCATTCGATAGTAGGAGACTGGTTATACGAGAGTTAGCCAGTTTACTGCTTTGTACTGGAATCTAATTCCAGTAGTGAATTTCTGTTCTTACTGCTTCAGCTTTCTATCCCGGTGAAGACTAGTCGTCTGCCGGGTAGTTAGACTGAGAGGGCTTGGTCAGCTTAAGAGATTCCAAGCTACTGCCGGATCTTCCGCAGTCTAATAAACAGTAAATCAACCCAGGGTAAATTGCAATTGAAACCTAACTAAGGAGCTAGGGGGATTCATTCCCGAGTGACTCTTTCCTGCTTAAGAAAACCGAATAATTTCCTGCTTTCTTTCTGCTTTTAGTTTAAACACAAATCACTTACTTTAGTTGGCTAGATAACAGAGAATCACTGAGTAAGCAGTAGATCTAGACCCCGGGTTGATAATTTAACTTGCCTGTTACTGCATTCCCGGTCTGCGATTACACTTGGTCGCAGATTGGTGTTGTGTTTTGGTGTGTCAGTTTCATTACATGGCTAGTCATTATGGATGCGATTGTAACTAAAACAAAGTTGGTAAGTTGGGGGAAAGTGGTTGATGCTAGTTGTGTGTTGTGTGCTGCGAGTAATGAAACTCGGGAGCATTTATTTTTTGACTGTTGTTTCTCGAAGAGCTTAGTTCATAGTGTGGGAAATTTGTTTAGCACCAGTTCATGGGAGCTTCGGCTCTCATATGCGGGTGTGGTCGCAAAGCGGGGCACGCCGTTGGGTAGGCTCATAGGTCCGATTTGGTGCTCTCTGATTACCTTCATCTGGCAGGAAAGGTGTCGGAGAGTTCATGGTGAGGTCCCTAGAACGGCGGCAGTAGTGCAGGAGTTATGGAAGAGAGATTTCTTTTACTTTGTTTCCTCTTCACAGTACTTCAGGATGATTGTAAAGCTATAAACCTAGATTGAGTAGTCATAGTGGGGAAGGTAGGAAATAGTAGTGGTTGCGGGGTGAGTCTTGTATTTTCCCCTTCGTTGTATCAGCGCGCATTTTTGCGCTTTTCTTGTTTTTGTTAATAAAATGGGAACTGATTCAACGAAAAAAAGGGGCTAGAGGTAGAGGTGATAATTAGTTGGCGGTTATCCGGTTAAACCGACCGCCGAACTAACACCGACGGTCATTCACCAAAACTGACAACCGCAAAATGTTGGCTATGTCGGTGTCCGTTGGGGATTTCAGGAGAATTTGATAACCAGACACTGCAGTGGTTAACCGACAATAAATCGGTCCACCGTAAATAACCGCTAAGAACCTCGTTGCCACAGGCACATCCCCTATGCCCTTGCCTCCCACCACCATCAGAGCTTTGCTCTGCCCCCAGCCCCCATCCAGATGCTTCTCAACCCTCAACCAGACTTCAATGCTCCATCTCCTCCTTCCAATCTCGACCTCGCCGTCCCAATCTCCCCAATCCCGACCTCGACTCCCCAACCAGACATGCACCACCACCAAAATCACAACTTTCATCCAAAACTGTCACTTTGCGCATACAAATACATCCAAATCCCTCCAGACATGCAACAAATCCTAAACCCCCCCCCCCCCCCCCCCCCCCCAAAAAAAATCTCCCCATACATGCAACGAACCCTAACCCCCAAATCCCCAAATGGAAGATTGAATCAGCGACGACGAAAGAATCGGAGATTAAATCCGGGTAGGCTTATGGCCTACCGTCGTCCCGCCTTCCTCATCCTTTCTTTGCATCGTTCGTCGTTTGGTTTTTCCTTCCATTGCATGTTTCCGCCGCATCACCGCCCAGCCTTTCTCATACTCGAAGTGCATGCATTTGATGAAATATTGTAGTACCAAAGATTGGATAAATTGCAAGTTTGGCCACTTGAATTACTAATAAATTTCACGTTAGCCACTAGAATTACTTTATTCCATCTGTAGTCACTTAAATTATTTCAACAGTTCAAGTTTGGTCACTCTCCGTTAGATTTTGCTGATGTGGCAATCAACTCTCATAGTTGACCGTTAAATAAGTGACGTGACAATTAAAAAATTAAAGCCTTTCTAATTTTCAGCTCATTTTTACACCCATTTAAAAAATAAAAATGAATTTCTATGATTTTACTAAACCATCATGGTCGGTCAGCGTCAGCTACTCGCTCAACTTCGACGATGACGAGTACTTCAAGTTCTACGCCTTCTCCTCCCGATTCGTTGCCAATCCCGACAGAAGCTCCATCGTCGCTGCTATTTAACAGAGTTTTTTATTAGTAGGGAGAGAGGTAACTGAAGATTGTAAGCTCTATGTATAAAATGTCAATATATATATGACTGGTTGTTGCTTCCGCCAGATCTTGCTGGTTCAAGGAACGATCGACACTCTCGGGAAACACCAGACCAGAGAGAGAGAGGGGAAGAGGAAAGGACAAAACGAGGAGACGTAATGTAAAGAAATCGTGTTAAGGCCTTAGAGACAGTCTCCCTAGCTAGTCGTTTGGTTTTCTTCGCTTATTCAATGGAGTCTCAGCAGGCAGGCGTCTCCCGCTGCTTACGCGAAGTAGCTGGTCGACGGCGGGGGGTACAGCGGTGGGAACCACGACACGAGTACGATGGTTTGGTCAACGTCGTCTATTCCGATGCTCGATGTTCCCAAGCTGAACAAGCAAAAGGCTTCCGTAGAGCCGCATGGCTCCATGCCGGATTACGCCATGATTTTTGGTGGATTCGGTGAAGCGAACTTTGCTATGCCTTACGATGAGTTGATTTCCAGAGGGCAGAAGGAGATGAAGGCTTCTCCTGCAGCTCGGTATGTTCATTTTTTCTTCTCTCAAGGCTCTTAAATGCTCGTTCTTTCGATTTCGTAGATGAACTTCATCGGAGAATCGGACTGGTAGTTCTCTTAATCTAAGGAGCAGAAATGATAGAGACGTTTGATTGTATATGTTTAGTGTTGCTGACCCGAGAGTGTCGATCGTTCCTTGAATGCTTTAGCTAGAAGAAATCTGGAATTCGTTCCGGTCATAGATTATCACCAACTTCGGTAGTGTACCGTCGCCGGCGAGGCTTCGGAGGCATTCGGGGGAATGGATGTTGTTTTTCAATTTTTCATTATTTTATTTTATTTCTTTGTGATAATGAGGTGGAATTTTTAAAAGATTAATTTTTATTTTTTAAATTGCCGCGTCACTCTTTTAACGTCAACTATGAGAGTTGACTGCCACATAAGCAAAATCTAACGGAGAGTGACCAAACTTGAACTGTTGAAATAATTTTAGTGACTACGGATGGAATAAAGTAATTCTAGTGGCTAACGTGAAATTTATTAGTAATTCAAGTGACCAAACTTGCAATTTATCCAATCTTTGGTACTACAGTATTTTATCAAATGCATGCACTTCGAGTATGAGAAAGGTTGGGCGGTGATGCGGCGGAAACATGCAATGGAAGGAACAACCAAACGACGAACGATGCAAAGAAAGGATGAGGAAGGCGGGATGACTTGAGACCAAGGTGGGTCATTTGCACTACCTAGGCTATGTAAAGTAAATTGTTTTTATACGATAGTGGATTGAATACAATATCTCCATATTTTTATAGATAATTTAGGAAAAAAGTGATGTTTTGTGATCTCTATTTAACTTTTAATTCATATATTTTTGTAAGTGAGTTTAATATGAACAAAAATTCGGAACTTAGGATGTTTGTTGCTATAAGTTACCATTGCAATTGTTGAAAGAGCACTTGCTGCAATAGACATAGTGAAGAAACAGTTCAGAATAAGGTGAGTTGTTTAATTTGAAACGATTTTTCGCTATAGTATCTTAACATCCATCGTAATTTGCATGGTCAACGTATTTTATAAAATTTTCAGAATATGAACACATCCCGAAAACTTACGTCATATTTTTTTTCCACGTTTGACCTATCTCAGCTGAATTTCTGGTTCATTTCCTCAATCGCTCCAGGTCTCAATCTCGTTAAGAAACTAAGAATCTCATGCCCAAGCCCACGCTCAAGCCCAGGTCGCGTCAGTTACTTTAGTTCCTTCGTCGCTACGTCCCCTAACCCGGGAACGGATCAGGTCAGTAACCTTATGGTGAGTAACTATGAGTAACCTGTCCACATCAGCATGACATCAACATCCTTCTCTCTCCTGGAAAACCTTTAAATTTCCCCTCCTTAATTTTTGACAGACGATTTCTCACTCGTTTTAAATCAAAATTTAATTTTTTTGCACAGTTAGATCAGATTAATTGTGCTCTTCAAAATGATATCTACTTTGATATATTTTCGAACGAAAAAAATTGAGTCATTTTTTACCAGTCTATACCATATGGTATTGACTAGTATTGAAATAAGAGCATACCAATGGTTTGAAAAACGTACCATTGTGGTATGAACTAACCAAGACTGTAGGATGGTTGAATACATGATAGTAGAGGTATATTAACTGTCATTTACGACTTTTAACATTGTGTACCACAAGATACCACCCCGTAGCAGGGTGGTATTGTATGGTATTGTATGGTATTTTTTTGTCCTGTAATTTGTTCACCCAGAAATTTGTAAATCCAATAGATCATGATGAACTCGTCCCTTCTGTGCGAACGATTTCAAAAACGAATTAAAAACGAAGAAGATACCATATGGTATGCAGTTGGTACCGAGATGACATAATTTATTTTTCTCAAAAATTATTGCAAATTGATCTCATTTAGTAGAGTACGATGAACTCGTTCTATTTGTGGAAAAAAAATTAAAATCGGAGTTAAAACGAAAAAGATATGAGCCGATTAAGAAAGATAGGGAGATCTGAATTTTCTAAATGCAGGGTCCAGGTAGGGGTGGCATTCGATCGGTTCGGTTTCGACCGAACCAAAATTATGAATACCGGGTCTCCGAATTCTCCCAAACCTCAAACCGAATTCGAACCGAATTATAATTCGGTTCGGTCGGTTTAAACCGAACTATTTTTCACCCCTAATATAACCAATAAATATCAATTATATGTATCATCAATGATAAAACCAAACTTTTCAACACATAAGTCATAAAACATTTCAAATATTTAAGTCTAAAAACAACTACAAACATAAAAATCCACCATTTGGAGCTTGCAATTATAGTATTTCGGTTTTTTCGGTCCGAAATTCTGAAATTCGGTTCGGTTGAAAGAACCCTGATTTCCGAACTATCTATATTTTCCTTCCGAATTCCGACCCGAATAGCATTAATTCGGTTTCAGTTCGGTTCGGGTTTACCGAACCGTTTGCCTACCCTAGGTCCAGGTTTAATTATTGACGAGCATAACCCATGATTTGGTTATGCATCCTATCTTGAGCCATGAACCTAAGACTAGGAAACAGCGACACTGAAGCAGTAACAGCATAAGCAGTATGGAGAAGAAGCTATCCAGAGTTGCGAATACCTTCGCTCCATCCCCAATTCAAGAGCTTTCCCACTTAGCTCAGCGATGCAACGCAATCAACCTCGCCGAAGGCTTCCCGGACTTCCCCGCCGCTCCGGCCATCAAGTCCGCCGCCGTTTCCGCCATCAATTCTGACTTCAACCAGTACAGGTCTCCGCTTCCGTTCCATGTTCTTTGTTCCACAGTCCAATCCATTTGGGTAACTGAAAAGTTTCCCGCTTTTTTTTTGTTTTTTTGCTGTATCTCCCAGGCACGTGCAAGGAATTTGTGAGCTATTAGCTAGAAATGCGGAAGAAATGTATGGATTGGAGGTCGACCCTGATACCGATATAGCCATTTGCTGCGGCCAAACTGAGGCTTTTGCAGCAGCAATGTTTGCCAGTATGTCAATTTTCTTCCTTCTCTGTTTCTCTATATGGCACTTGAATCAAGAATCGATTTTTTTTTTTTTTATGAATAATCGAGAATGGAGTTGCTTTTTTTTTTTTGTGTGTGTGATTATTTTGGTTGGACTATGTTCTTGACAGTAATAGACCCTGGAGATGAGGTTGTGCTGTTTGATCCTTGTTACGAAACCTATGAGGGTTGCATTCGGTTGGCAGGGGGGATTCCTGTGAGTTAACTTGAATCAGCATTTTGGAATCTTGAATAGTACCCAGCTAATATATTTTTTGTTCTTCAGTGATCGAATTTGGGAATTGTTGTTTTGGCAGGTATATGTTGCGCTTGAGCCACCTCATTGGACTTTGGATGCTGAGAAATTCATGAGTTCATTCACTGGCAGAACAAAAGCGGTGATCTTGAACAGGTTTATTCATTGCGTCGTCTTCTTTTGGAATGTTGGTGGTCTATTACACCTTGGTTGATTGATTTTTCTGTCCTGTTTACTAGATCTTAGTGGGAAGACCTCTGTTCTGAACTCTCAGCTTGATCATCTTCCTAACGAAAATATCAATTCTAAGAAATACTTCTCTCGACAGAAGTAAAAAGAGTCCTGGGTTGTGTCAACTAAGTGGTTGTCTTTATTAGGATGAGAAATGATGCCATGGGAACTTAGTATTTATGAACTTACTGACTGTGGAGTGGCACAGTCCTCAGAATCCGACTGGGAAAGTTTTCACCTGGAATGAGCTTGAGATTATAGCTGAAGCTTGCCGCAGCAGAGATTGCCTTGCTGTGACAGATGAAGTATGACTATTAACCTTTTTGCCGTTTCCCTATTCATACACTTTGTAGAGAAGAATATGATAATGACTTGGATGTTCTTAATAAGTAGTAATGTCGTGCATCCTCTCTTCTTGGTGAATCTAGTTGACCTTTAACATATATGAATCCTAACCTAAATCGTAGATCGTTTGGAAGAAAATGCTACCTTATTGAACCTCAATTCTGAAACAAATGCTATGAAGACTAGTCTGTGGGTGGAACTTAGGAGAACTTCTACCTTACCTGAAGTATCTGAAGTTCAATTTGTTTCTTGCAGGTATATGAGCATATCACATATGATAACGTAAAACATGTTACTCTCTCCTTGCTGCCAGGAATGCAGCAACGGACCATCATCACATCTTCAATATCAAAGACTTTTGGCGTCACAGGTCTAAGCAAAAGCCAACCTTCTTCGGTCATATGATGGCACACACGTCACATCCTATCCTTTTGCTCATTACTTCACAATCTGAGAGTTTTTTTTTATTGCTGTTGCTACTTTTGACCAGGATGGAGAATCGGCTGGGCAATCGCTAATCCGATCTTGGCCTCTGCTATAAGAAACATTCATGTCAAACTTACAGATTCAGCTCCAGCACCTTTCCAGGAAGCTGCATTAACTGCTCTGAGTAGTGGCCCAGATTACTTTGAATCACTCAGGAGAGTAAGTCTTGGGATTTGAAAACAATGAAGTCCATATTAGATTCTTTGAGAACCTGCTCTTTGTTCATTGAACAATATGCTCTTTTTTTCTTTTAATTTCCAGGACTATGAATCAAAAAGAGATTACAGCATCCAGTTGCTGACCGGGATAGGTTTTCAGATTCGTTTTAAACCTCAGGGATCATTCTTCCTATTTGCAGAACTTCCAGAATCGTCCCCTCTTTCAGATGTGGGTGCCTCTCTTGCTTTCACTGGTCTAAAGACTAAAGTTGCTTTCTTGACCTTGATAATCCCTTGCCTTCTCGTGCTTATGGTTCAGGTGGAATATGTTAAGCATCTAATAGAACAAGCTGGTGTGGTGGCTGTCCCGGGTCGCGGGTTCTTCCACTTCAATTCGGTATCTTCAGAGGAATCACTATCTGCTTGCCATGATTATCAGAAGAGATACATTAGGTTCGCTTTCTGCAAAAGCAGCGCCACATTGGAAGCAGCAGCGCAAGGACTTAGTGAGCTCGTGGACAAGAAAGGCTGTTTGAATCTGCCTCCTCCTTGTAATACTGACACATAGATAGATTGGCATAATGGTGCCATCATCTATCATATGGAATGATGTGTTCTTCTCATCCAATTTGGCTAAGGTGCTGATAGTATTGGCGTATGCTTAGGTTGGTATCATTCAATCGCCCAACCAAGATTCTATCCAATCATTTGAAGATTCTATCCAGATTCCTTCTCAACAGTACTTATTATTTATCTCGCAATTATTCTGTCAGCCATCAACTGCCAGTGACTTGTTAAGCAAAGCTGGCAAATCTGACTTGCATTGTTGTGCCCTTGATTGAGTCAATCTCAAACAGAGCAATTTGATATATTAATCAGGGTATTGAAACGTCTTAATCATGATTAGTCACTCTGATGACAGAATCCCAAGTGCATAAAAAAGGGGGTCCCCTCTCCCAAATCCAACACTACTTCCAAAATTCCAACCACTCAGTAGCAGAATGGGTTTCCATCATCACAACAGTCACAAGACAAACTTTTTGTAATTTTCTGCAGTGGGGTTTGAACTAAATTGAAGAACACAAAAGAATTATTATTAGAATAGAATAGGGTAAGGGAAAAGCTCCAAGAATAAATATCAAATCAATCTATTAAAAAAATGGTGGGGACTCTCAAACAAAGAAGTTTGGCTTCTCAATCAATCATTTGTGAGTGTTTGCTTCTTCACTCCTCCAATGCAATGTACATTGAAAGCTATGTATGTATTCGAAGATAAGACCTTTTTAAGTGGATCGCAAGGGTGCACGTTTTCAAACTCCTCCTCCCTTTGCTTTCCATTTTTCCCACCCACCTAATTTGGGTTGGACTCCCAGACAAATCAAAATTGGCACTTTCCAAGATCAGAGTAACTGTTCTATTATTATGCATAGCACTCATAAGTCACAAGCTTTCCGCGAAGGAAATAGAGTTGATGACTGGTTCTCGAAGCAGTCTCATCTATCGCTTTAGTCACAAGCTTTCCGTGAAGGAAATAGAGTTGATAACTGGTTCTCGAAGCAGTCTCATCTATCGCTTTGCCATACATGAGTTAAAGGATTGCTAATTAAAAGCAGAGAGACTGCTTACAGACAGCACGGGGATTAGCTTCTCTCCGCTAGTGCCTCGGATGAACAGATAAGTGCTGCAATTTTCGGTTGTGTTATCGTTTTCTTGCGTTCCTAAGGCCCTGTTCTAAGTTTTGCAGTGGCTCTGCCACCTGACTTTGTTGCTGCCTCTCTGCTTCATGCCTCCCTTTCCTTTCGCCCAATTCCAAATAGATTCAGTACCTCATTCCAGAGCAATCTCTGCTCAACCTTCCAATTCTTGATCGGCAGTCGAGCCATTCGTCGACAAGTTTAAACGTGCTGTTAACATATGTACACAAAGTGTCCATTACAATTTGCCAAGCATCAAGTGCAAGAGAAGCAACATAATGAATTGTCAACAAGCAAAACAACCCTTCTTATATTATAATATATATATATATATATACTTCAGCATCTGTATGTAAAACTTACAAGACAATACTACCATGGAGGAGATCCTTCTCTCTTTTTACCACAACATCCAGTCTCTCTCTAAAGATTAGCTATATAACATTAGCCAACATATCAACCTAACCAAGTGAACCCTGTCCTCAAAAGGGTAAACCTTGAAACCTTCTTTAATGGCACTGCTGCAGAAACAGTTATCTCCCCTGGAGAAAATCTACTTCAAGCTACGTCACCCAAATCTCAAACCGATTCCGGCGGTATAACAGACAACAAATCCTGAGTCAGCCAGCTAGATGCTGAGCCACTTCCTGCACTCATATCCTTCATGAATCAAGAACAACCGGGAGCCAGAAAACCCCAACTGGCGAAAAGGATCAATGGACACCCGTAAGCAGGTAATACTACACAATCACATTATCAACAGAAAAGCAAACTCTAAAAACCCTAGCCAGGAAAAGAAAAAAACCAGAGTGAAAAGACTGTCAAAGCTTCCTTGTCGCCTTTTTGGCTGCTACTGCTGCAAAGTAAAGTTAGATTCTTTTTCTTTTATCAACAGTTAGAACTCACGAACTTCTTAATCTCATCCATCACAGTATGGAAGTGAGCATTATTTGGCAACAAGTAGAACCCTATTGTCGCCTTCTCAAGATACAAATCCTTCACTTGTTGCCCAGCCTTCTTCAGCCCTTCAACATAAGCCATTTGCCAATCTTGCACAAGATCCAAACCAGCAACAACAACAAGACTCTTGGGGAACTTCACCCCTTCTAGACTCGCAGCTTTTGGACCAAATGGATTACAAGCTGGATGATCCCTATCAGCACCATCAGGAAGAAATGCCCTCCAATACCAATCCCTATCCTGCACGGAAACAAAGTACTTCCCATCCAATCTCTTCTCCGATTCAGTTCTCAATTCCCCACCAAACATCGGATTAAGCAATATATTCCCCAACACTTCAATACCCGATTCCGATTCAGCAGCTTTCAAAGCAACATGGTGAGCAATATTCCCACCGGAGCTATCTCCAGCCAAAAATATGTGAACTTTCGAGTCTGTACTCTCGAGCCATGCCCTCGATTTGACCCAGTTGAGAACTGTCCAGCCATCATCATAAGCACAAGGATACCGATGCTCAGGGGCACGCCTATAATTTACTGAGACCACCACGGCTCTGCACAGTCCAACTAGTCTTCGACACAATGTGTCGTAGATAGCACTGTTGGCAGATGAGTGTGCAAAGCTTCCACCATGGAAGAAGACAATCACAGGGACAGTAGAGGAAGATTCGGACTTCACAGGCTTCTCGAGATCAGCAACATTTGGCGGCTCGTCAGTGTCGGATGGGCGGTAGATTCGGCAGAGGAGATTTGTGGCTCGATCAACAATCACATCGAATGAGAACACACCGTCAATAGGGTTTGCATTGGCAGGGACCTTTCGGTCCAGGAACTCGGCCAAATGGCGATTGAATGTTCCATCTGGACGCCGGAGGAGGTTGTATGCTAACTTGAAGTTGGATATTAGGACCCATGTGTTCAAAGGGACCACCATCTGCACAAAGAAAAGCAAAAAGGGTTGGCCAAACAATTTCCAAAACGTTCATCCCTAACTGGTAAAATTAGTCGAAAATGGACAGGGTTCCACCCATTCCCCTTACCAAATCTCCTACCAGGTAAAACGAAAACTACTGAGATGAATGGAACATCCAATTTCACTTACTATCACCGAATCAACATTAAACTTTAACTCAAGACAAAAGCAATCAGCTCCACAAAAACCATTATCTCGCATTAATCCCAAGGAGAATCAAATAAATCACTTCCACTCAATTTGTTTTGGACACCAAGAAGGTTCAAAGAACCATCTCCAATATAAAGCCAAAGCCATAAACACCACCAGCTAAACTAAACCACTCTGATCAAAACCATAACCTCATCTCAAGGGCACAGAAATTTCGTTGCAATCAAAGAAGAAGAAGGGACTGAAACCAAACAAAGAAGAAGAAGGGTACCTTGCTTTCATTTATGCTGACTTCGTTACTCCGAGCCATGTTTCCCACGCAGTCTGCAACGATTTCCCACCAGGAGAAGCAAGATACCAAAGGAGGCAAGAGATCGTTACCCACCGCCAGCAGTTGAGCTCGTAATCTCGAGCTTTACATGCTTTGAACCCCAGGTAAGCCAAAAAAAAAAATTACACAAAATCGGGAAAAAGAGGCTCGCCGATCGTTTATCAGGTGTGAAAAGATCACTGCTCCAGCTAGTGATCAGACCTCAGAAAGCTGGAGAAAACGAAATGGGCAGCCCTAATTAATCCCCGATTTGATGACTAATCGACGGGAGTAGAGAGATTCGTTGAGGAGAAATGGAGGGTATTTGGTAAATCTCAGTGCTAAAGAAAGAAGGTGGAAAAGAAACCTTTTGCGGAAATGTCCCAGAAGAAGGATGAAATTAGAGGTGGGGCGAAGGATAAGGATGGTGGTTCAGTTTAAGCCGGGTGGGTGAGGAAAGGGATCTAAATTGCGCTGAGGGGTGAGGTGGCGCAAGAGAGAGCCACAGAGAGGACAAAGTGAGCGGCCGAAAGATAACTGTTGCGTGGTCCCACTGACGCGAAAATAAAAACTAATAGTAAAGTTTTATATTTGTGTGGCAGAAAAGGTCAAACGTGCAAACCAAGCTGCTTAGAAAGGTGAATAAATAAATAAATAATTAGTCATTATTATACGGCACTTGGTTTGGTCATTCGTATTTTATTTTGGCTCCAGATAGTATACTGAAGCGGTAAAGTGAGAAATTTGGCTTTATAACTTTTGGGTATTTTGGTTTCGGAGTCATAAATTAAAATAGGCCGCCAAGTGAAAACCAGAAGCATTTTTTTTTAAATGAAACTAGTTAAATGCCAAATTTTTGTATTTATAATTTTGTGGCCTCAATTATCCATTAATTTTATGAAATTGGCATAGTCTGAGAGTTGAGCATTATATTGGACGGTCAACACAGTTGACTAACGATCAACTCACCATATCGCTGTCAAGTTAGCACAGATCAATTTAAAAAAATTTGTTTTCCACCTATTACCATATATCTTTTTAATTTTGAATAAAAGGAAAAGAAAATCAAAAAGTTCTTGTCGGGTCGTCTTATATCTCCCAAAACCCCCTCACTCTGTCTTAATTCTTCTCGACTTCGTCCCCGCTCTTCTCCCATCGCCGGCCCGCCGTCGAGGAAATTGCAGCGGCGCCCGATATTTTTTCGTCGTAGTCGTCCCCTCGCCGTCGAAGTTCTGACTGCGCACCGAATTTGCAGAAAGAGGCCACCTTTTCTTTTGAAGAATCATAAAAAGAACTGCCACTTTTTTTGAAGGGTTGATGATGAGCATGAGAGTGACTCGGTGGTTGATGGATTGATGCAAGAGAACCATGAGCTGAAATCGAAGCTTCGTGATATTGAAACGCTAGAAGGCTGTGTCCGTAGAGCATAAGAAAAAGCGAGAAAAAGGAAACAAGAGAAGGCTACGATATTAGAAGACTTAACCAAACTTTCAGAACTCAGTGCTGCAAGTTGTCTGGAACTGCGAAAAAATGAGACATACGATTTTCGCCCTTCAAAAGAGGATGACTTTATGTTGTTTTTGTGTGCTCTTCATTGTGGTTGTTGTACTTGTGTTTTTAGTGCTTCGTATGTAATGGATATTTGACATTGAATAAAATTGAATGATTTCAACAAAGCTAGCACACATTTGCTTCAACGATGTTTGACATTGAATAACCTGGTTGCATATGCATATATCAGTCTCAAATAGGGTCATTCATATGAAACATGTACTATCATATAACATAAGTATGAAATCCGGGGACCTAACAAAAGAGTGACAATCCTACTGCTCCACGTTGGATCAGAGTACACAATTCGAAACATGTGCTAACATATGCAAACATGTACAAAATTACAAAAGTATGGAGCATCCTACACCTAAGCTACAGTTTTTCAACCTTCCCCAGGGCGTTTCTGACTGAGTAGTAGGCAACTGTGTAGCATTAACAGGAGGACTGTCTGGTGTTGTGGCTTGCACACCTCAAGCATGTTGTGAAACCCTCTCACTTAGCTGCTAAAGAACAAAGAATATTGATAGATACAGAAAATGTATACAACACGAAATGGTAGCATAAGAAAAGGAATAGAAAGCAAGTGCCCAAGAAATACTAAGATCTTGAACTTATGTCACATTGCCTCTCCACATAGTGCAGTAGTTTTGTTTCATGTTGTGTATGATTTATTGAAGGAGTGGCAAATTGAAAAGAAAGTTTTCTCAAAAACATTGGATAATGCTCGATGCGACGATGTTATGCAAAGTTTGTTGATCGATCAATTGAAAGAAGATGATGGGTTGGTATGTGATGGGAATTATTTTCATGTTCGTTGTGGTGCCCATATTCTAAACTTGATTGTGCATGAAGGGTTAAAATAGATTCGTGCTTCGATAGATGTAATTAGGGAGTGGGTGAAATATGCTAAGGGATCTGAATCTCGAATGATTGTCTTTGAAGATTGTGCCAAAAGAAGCAACTGTTTAAACTCGAAGGGATTGTGGTTAGATTGTCCGACTAGGTGGAATTCGACATATATGATGCTTGAAAGGGCTGAGCTCTATCGTTGTGCTTTTCAGCATTTGAAGTTGGTTGATAAAAACTATGAACGATTTTTGTCAGATGTCGAATGGGAAAAGATCAAGAAAATTAAGAAGATTTTGAAACTGTTTGATGACATCACAAACCTTTTTATGGAGTTCATTATCCTACTTCGAACTTGTATTTCTGCAATGTATGGAGGATTCAAATGCGGTTGATGGAGGCATCTAGAAGTATGGATAGTGATATTAGCAATATGGCTTCAGCAATGAAGGAAAATTTTGATAAGTACCGGGAGTCCTACAGTACTATTCTCTCTGTGGCAGTGGTCTTTGATCCACGATACAAGTTGGATTCTGTGAAGTTTTTTTATGAGAAGTTGTATGGGGATATAGATGTTGCTAAAACAAAGTAATCCGAGCTCCGAGGAAATAAATGTGATCTACTCAAGGTTTATGGTGATCCCGGTGATCAATCTCCATCACTTGCTGAGAATATTGCTGAAGATGTGGACTATGGAGATGATATGGATGTAAGTAAATCTGTTACTTAATTTTTCTCTCTTAATCCTTTTCTATTTACTAATATGAGCTATTTGTTTTATAGGAGTTTGGTTCATTTTGGGAAAATCAGTTCTTAGGCGATAGAACACAATTAGATGAATATCTGAATGATAAAAGGCTCGAGCGCAAACAACCATTGGATGTTCTTGTTTGGTGGAAGAACAATGAATCTCGATTTCCTGAGCTTGCTCACTTGGCCAGAGATAGTTTGAGCATTCCTATCACAACCCTAGCATCAGAGTCGGCTTTCAGTATGGGCGGAAGAGTTTTAAGTAGTTGGCGGAGCTCTCTTTTGCCTGAAAATACCGAAGCCTTAATTACCACTCATAGTTGGTTATACGGATTTCCAAGTAAGTTAATTAATAACATATGTATATATATTTTTCTTTATGATTGGTTCAATCTAATACATTATTAAGTTACATTTTAATTAGGCGGTGATCATGATAATGGACTTGAGGTGAAGATTTCAAAGACTTTTGGAGGATCCTCAGTGGCCTCTGATTGTACTCCTCTCTGAGATGAATGATAATTGTGCGTGAGGTGCCACCGTTGAAAGTTGTTGTAATGGTCTAGATGGAGCTGCTGGAGACGTAGCATTATGCTGTTGATGATGAGATGATGCACTTATGTAGATGTTGGAAACTCTGATATGTGTGTTTCATATGTGGGTTTGATATTTACCACTTTCTTGAATTATTGTTATAAGTAGGCTTTTGTAGTTTTGGTGTTTGGGAGAAGGAGATTCAGTGTTCTATTGCTGCTAGTTTTGGTGTTTGGGAGAAGGAGATTTAGCAGCAGGGAAGCAGCCTCTCTTGCTGCAGAACAAGGGAAGAAATTTGCCAACACTAGAATTTAATGCACAGATATAGTTTCGTTAACTATTAATTCGATCTTACACTACAACTTATCATTTTTGTACCCATTTTATGATTGAATTCCCTGCTAAAACCATTAATCTGGTAACACTAGAACTTAATGCACAGATATAGAACTTAATGAAATTATCTCTTTTTCTACACTAGAACTTAACCGTAGAACTTAGCAGGTCAACAAAATGACATGTCGACCATGGATGGCCAGCACTGCACCTCGATGACCATCGCGGAAGCTTGATCAATACCATAGCAGGCCAATAAGGACTTCTCGCTGCATCTTGACTTGTTCCCTTTCTTTTCTTAATAAATTCTTTTCACCCTTATTAAAAAAATAGAGTAAAAAAAAAAAAACAGAGTCGCTAGAGTTCAAGCAAAGGAAAAAAAAGGAAAAAAAAAAACAGAGTCGCCCTATTTGCTGGTTTGGGTGGTGGGCTGTTGTTTTTGATTTGTTTCGATGGAATTTTGTACATAAAAAGATCAGACCCATCCAGGTTGCAGGTTGTTTCACCTTGTTGTCTTGTTGATTCAATTTATAGAGAGGCAAAGTAAGGATCGGCAGGTTGTTTTTCGCCATCACCATGGATTGATTCCTTCTTCTTCTTCCCAACTTCTTCACCGGCGCTAATTTCCTCTGGGATTTGTCTCTTCAGCGAACTCAGCAGAGCCGGGGCAGAAGAAGAGAATACGCTGTCGGAGCTGCTGGTACAGGTGAAGAAAAATTACAGAGTAGAGGCGAAGGATCACCAGTGTTACTCTATAGTCTACACGAACCTACAATCCATGAATCAAATCCACAGATCCACACATCCATTTCAATCCATGAATCCATGGATCCACTTGAATCCAATCCACGAATCCAAGATCCATTTGATCGAATCCACGAATTCGATCCAATTGCCACCTCTATCCTTATTGTTTGGGTGCTGAGATACATGATGAGCTCAGTGAGGATCGGGGTGGAGAGGAAGAAGATGACACATGGAGTGGTAGGCTAAAGGAGTGTCACTATAGCTCATACACGCGATGAACTCATGTCGATGGTTCCACAAATCAATCGACTCGCTGGCTGCATGTATCAATTGCTACCCACATGATAGCCCATGCTGGCCCTGGCGAAGGAAAAACCTAATCTCAGCCGGGGGATGTGGCTGATGAGGCCGGTCCTGCATCATGCCAAACTGTCCGTGCACGCGATCTGTATGGTGCCACATTGCCGATGAAAAGCATATCAGTGGAACTACTGCTCGAAATGTGTCGGACTAGATCACAGTAACGTTGAAGTCGTGGGCTCTCTCAAAGTAAGGACGCCACTACACACAAAAATTGGTCACATAATTACTCATAAATCTAACACAAACCAATGAAAACTATTCTATAAAACAAGGTCGTGCCTCGTCAAAGCACAACTTGTATTGATAGAACTGATCACCATGCTGACGGGTCTGGGTCGGAAGCCATCGAAGTCCACGTGGTGATGCGTCCTCAGTAATCTGCGCCTCCGTCTCTGTATGTAGTGGTGCTGTATGAGGAAATCGCTCCCAAGCCTAGAGCATCAGTAAGGCGGGCCATCCACCAAGGTCACCACCTAGTGAAGAGGACTGCGTCAGTTGCAGCACCGACCTACCCATCTCACGGTACATGTAGGATAGAACACTTGCTCCCCAGGCGAACCTCCCAGCTCTACGCCAATCCTCTACCAAGATTAGGTACTTTATATGAACTGAACCTCCACACCGATCGGGGAACAGTACACCTCCCATCAGAGATAGAGCATAAGCTCGTGCAAACTTCTCTGTAGTCTCTGGTGATGCATTTGGCGGCAGTTGATCGAATGTATCCCTGAGCCAAGAAATTCTAATGACACCGCCATAAATATTAGTAGGAGCCCGTCCTAACAGTCGAAGACACGTATCCAACTAGTACTCATCTGGTATGTCTACTATGACGACATCACCGTCGATCGCTAGACCGGTAAGTGTCGCAACATCCTCTAAAGTGATCGTTACCTCACCAAACGGCACGTGAAAGTTTGATGACTTGGGTCACCAACGCTCTACGAGCGCAGTAATCAAGCCCGGATCAGCAGTAATAGAGACCAATGGCAGAACCGTAAACAAGCCCGCCTCGACGAGGTACGTCTGATACTGTGAATTGTACGTGACTAAATTGCTCGTACCTCGAATATGGTAAGGTCGATCACCAGCCTATAGTGCACAAAACTTGTATTAATTCAATTTCATGCGTACTTCTAAATTCAGTTCACCTAGTATTTATGTATCTAATCTAAACTTATTCTAATTTTAACATATATTTCATGCGTAATTCTATTCTAATTTCATCTCAGTTCACCTTATAAAAAAACTATAGAAGTAGATGGAAGACTAACCTTGTTTGCCCAAACGGAGTCAATACAATGCTGACCATGTCCCAAAGAAGTACCGGATTCACCGGAGATGTATCAATTGTCGCAGGTGGTGGTCTTATGGAATAACTGTCCATAAGCCTAGGAACTGAAAAAAAAAACAATTAACCAGAACATAAAAAAACTCAAATTAAAAAAAAACCTCGCAGCCGACGAGAATCCGGCCACCGCCGACGAAAATCTCACCTCGGTAGCGGTCGCCGCCGCCACGACCTCGTCCTCGCCGCCGCCACGACCTCGACCTCGCCGCCCTCTGCCCCTTCCTCTGTCTGCGATTGCTTCCTCGTCATTGGACATCTTCTCCAAAAATAAATCAGATCTGCTCTGGCGAGGTTGAGGGAAGAAGAAAGGAGAGGCGGGTTTGCTCGGTACTCAGGCGCGGCCGCCTCAGTCTGAGGCGAGGCTGTCACTATTTGCGACGCTACCGTATCTGCCTTGGGCATGGTCGTTTTGGACGAAGGTGAGACAGCGCTGCGCGATGGTGTTTCTCTCAGGCGAGAGGTGAGGGTGGGAGGAGAAGAAGATAAGAAAAGGAAGGTGGGTAGCGACTAGCGAGGCCGCTTGAGTCTCAGGCTCTACCGCCTTTGACTCGGATGGGCCCGCTTTACCTTGTGACAAAAATTTAAAATGCGGCATCACGTGAGTCTGGGGCGGTCCCACCTTTAACATTATCCAAATACACAATACTTGTATAAATACTTTAAATACTGCTATATTAGTGGTAAATTAAAAAAAACTATTTATGTCGTTAACCCCGCACAAGCCCCAATATCAAGACTAAAAAAAAAACCAAAATGGATATGAATTATGATGATTTTTTATTAGTGGTAAGAGTGAAATTTTTAAATCAATATATCATTTAATAAATTAAGGAAATAAATGTAACAATTAATTAGGTAAACGAACGGACTAGCCAGTATTCCAATATCGAACTCCTCAATTCAAAGAAAAAAAAAATATTACATGTATATTTTTTTTATTTGTTTATTTTAGTATCTAGGGATGGTTGGTTTGGATATCATGTTTTTGCTAGGAATTTATCTAACAAGCTGGGTTTCTTTGTGCTATTTACTTTTCTATTCATTAATCTACGAGAATTCAAAAATTTGTTCATTGAAATGCATTTGATAATATATTATCATATATATTTGAGAATTGCTATTTTCATCCAAAATTATCATAGACCCGATCCAAATTTTTTGGATTGGATCAAAATTTGACTGATATAAACTAACCTGGAATTACTTGAATTGCTATAACCTGTCACTCGAGATCACTCGACCCGATTGCCAAGTCTAGATGCTTTATTTTATTTATTATCAATGAATATAAATAAATTGAAATATTATTATTAGTACAGAGTACCAGCTAGGTAGCTAGCTAGCTATTAACCGGATAATACAAGGAGCCAAATGAGGATTTGGTCAAGAAAGTGTATTATTAATTATGTGGTTTTTTGGGAAGCACAAACTTTTGTTTTGACGTTAATGAAATTCATTCATATACTCCCATCAGACCAAAAGAAAATAGTACTCATATTCATGTACTGGTCGCTGCATACTGCAATGGAATTTTTGGTGTTTAAGGTATCAATCACCTTTCAAAAACAAAAAAAGTATCAATCGACAGATTTTGTTGGTTTAGCAAATTTAGTTTAGCAAGTCATTTTATTGATCATAATCTTTTGATAATCTCTAATTTTTATGCACAAATTTGTGAAAATAAGGTGATACTTTCAATTGGTTCTCTTATACCCTATTTTTTCCGGTGAATACTCTTATACTCTATTGTACAAGAGGGGAAGGGAAATTTAGAATTGAAGGAAAAAATGGTAGGAGAAAATATTTTTTATAAGAGAAAATAGCAAAAATGAATTGGGAAGTGTGATAAAAATATTATTTTTAAAATTACCAAAAAATATTATTTTTAATCGATGATATAATAGAGAACTCACAAAAATAGTTTGTTAATACTATTTGCATTTGTAGAAAGTTTTATATACCACCCACGACTAGTAACATTTCTACCAACATTCTACCACTATTGTGTATTCCTATCATTATGGTATATTCCTATGACTATCGTATATACTGTAAATTTGGATAACAATAGGCAATTTTTACCGTCTAACTGAAATTACGTACGTTTTAGGTGAATCTTGCTCTTTTACTTTTTTACATGGTTAAATTAAAATTGCATTAAGAACAGGCTCCACTAGGA